AAATTGGGCAGAGATCTAAGATTTCTTTTGGGACAGTTTTCATATTACTTTATAAAGCAGAGTTATAGTACATTTTTTTACTCGGTTTTATAAAGCAGTACAAAAGCTGCCCCAAACGAAAAACCTAAATGAGTTGAATTAAATTAATTAAAATAACTTGTAAATTAAATAGGACGACATATTTGATTCGTAAGGCTTTATTTTTCATTAAAATAAATGCAAAATTGATATTTGACAAAGGCAAAGTAATTATAACTAAAAATTAATGGAGTTGTATAAGTTAACTAATTTCTTGTAGTGATTTTTGTGTTTATTTGAATATTGTCCATACTATTTTTTTATGGGCATGGATGACATGGTCAGTGGATATTTGTGCTTTTATTTAATAAATAATATTAGAATAAGAGTATAAGAGAATATTTGAAAATACGTCATAAGAGTATCTCCCTCATTTTACTGAATCGTAAAGAGAATGAAAGGGTCGTTGATGATCCTTCAATATGCAATAAAGTATTTGATGAAAAGTCTAGCTAGATTACTAAAGGAATGAATGGTTCAATGAGAGAGAGAGAGAAATTTATCTCTAAAGAGTTGCAATGAAGACCTTATATAAAATTACATCAAAGTTTGTTGAATGTATATGTTGATTATATAATGGTCAATATGCTTACATGGATCCAATGACCCATTATATGAGATTCATCATAGGCAACATGAACTCCACTATAACAAATGACAAAGAATTATGGTTGAAAATATGAACCAAGATGAGCCGAGCTTTAGCAAATTTGGGTTTGATCTCATTGCCAAGGCCCTGTTTGAGCTCGCCTTGAAAAGAGAAGAGCTTTTTTTTTGTCTCTATTCGAGTTCGAGCTTGTTTAGATAACCCCTGCTCGAGCTTGATTATTTAAGCTTATCACACAAACTTGTTTACTTCTTGATTAGCCGCTCATTAACCAGTCGTTCAAGCCAGATTTTTTACCTCTTAACGAGCTCGTTTAAACAAAACAAAAGGCTTAAATTGTGAATTAATAGCAAGCGAATCTTGCCTGCGCCTCAGTTTACCGGCTCCTGAGGTTCACAAATGCACTCCATTTTTTTTCTTTTTTAGATCAAAATATATCCTGCCTCACAGTGTGGGACTACTGCGTGAGTAGTGAACCGTGACGAGAGCAAGAGCAAGAGCGCCAAGTGAGAAAATCTTTATTTTTTCGTTTTATTTTTCTGTTGCGTTAATAGGAGTGTAGAGCACAGAAATCTTTTATTTTTCTATTGCAAGAGTGCCGAGTAGGAAATTTTTTTTTTCTATTGCGCGAGCGGGAACGGAGTGCAAAGCATTAACTCTCTTTCATTAAATCATTAAATTTAATACTATTTATTTAGAGTTCTAATCGAGCTTTTCAGTCGAGCTCAATTTGAGCTTGTTCACGGACATTAAACAATGTAGTTTGTGAAAATAAACGAGCATATGCTTTAAAACGAAAAAGTTGTCTCATTATTTTCCGTCGGAAAGCCACCGGTAATGAGTGATTTTACTGTAGTGCATAAACAACTTGACGTTCTGCTCATTTATGTTCATTTATTTAGTCATCTAGTATTTATCAAAAGTGTTCAAGCTCATTTGTTTATCATATCAAACAAATATGAACGAGCTCTTATTTAGCCAAACCACAAATAGCTCGTTGAACACTCAATTCATTTACAACCCTACATAGAATAGTATAAAAACTTCTCACAATTTGCATATATATATATATATAGTAAATTTTGAGCTTAAAACCAATTGTTTGAAAATTTAAGCTCGCAATAGAGTGGTTTGGAGAAGCTATACAAGATGGCTCTTCTCAATAACGTGAAGTTGTTCCCTCATCACAATGTAACTTATTCTGTTCCTCAGGATTGAGACGGCTTATTTATTATTTTTTAAAATATTTTTAATTCAATAAAATTTTTATTAGAAGTTTATTAAAAAAAATTATCTCAAATGAAACCTCTTTAAAAAAATGAAATAATTTTAATAAAAATTTCTAAACCCTAAAACTTAATAATTAATTAATTATTAATATTATATTATTTTGAAATAAAATTATAATTATAATTTCTTCTTTTAAAAAAGAATTTATAATTTCTTCGTCACCATCTAACTTAGGATTGCATTAAGGCTCAACGTATGCAGTATGCCATGTAGGACTTAGGGCATCTCCAACCGAACGGCAAATACTTGTTTGCCGTTCTTGTTTTGCTCCAACCGATCGTCATTTTTTACGTCATTTGATGGCGGATGAACAGTGCGACGCCAATATTGGCGTCGCATCACCAGACAGCGGTCTCCTGCCGACTACGGTCTCCGGCCGACTACGGTCTCCTGCCGACTACAGTTCTTCAGGCCTTTGTCGCCTACTATGGTCCTTCCGACCTCCATCAACAGACAACGGTCTTTCTGACTCCGGTCTCCTGCCGACTACGGTCTCCTGCCGACTACGGTCTCCTGCCGACTACGGTCTCCTGCCGACTACGGTCTCCTTCCGACTACGGTCTCCGGCCGACTACGGTCTCCGGCCGACTACGGTCTCCTGCCGACTACAGTTCTTCAGGCCTTTGTCGCCTACTATGGTCCTTCCGACCTCCATCAACAGACAACGGTCTTTCTGACTCCGGTCTCCTGCCGACTACGGTCTCCGGCCGACTACGGTCTCCTGCCGACTACGGTCTCCGGCCGACTACGGTCTCCTGCCGACTACGGTCGCCGGCCGACTACGGTCTCCTGCCGACTACGGTCTCCGGCCGACTACGGTCTCCTGCCGACTACGGTCTCCGGCCGACTACGGTCTCCTGCCGACTACGGTCTCCAGCCGACTACGGTCTCCTGCCGACTATAGTTCTTCAGGCCTTTGTCGCCTACTATGGTCCTTCCGACCTCCATCAACAGACAACGGTCTTTCTGACTCCGGTCTCCTGCCGACCACGGTCCTTCAGGCCAAACAAACATGTATATGTAACTCTTACCATGTAATGCAATCTATATGATGTACATTTGCTACATCAATCCAAGGCCTTCTCCTAAGGAAGGGCCTCATTTGTAATCGACTACAAATACTAGTGGATTCATTCAAACTGGGCTAGGCCCCGTGGTTTTTCCCCCTTTTTCAGGGGTTTTCCACGTAAAAAACTTTGGTGTCTCTTATGAACGCTACACCCTCTCACTTATCTGATTGTGTGCTGGATCTTCGTACAACGCTAAGACGTTAAACTATATATTTCTCTACCGCCGCGAATATTCCAGGACGCAACAATTTTATTTTATTTTTTATTTAAAAAAATCATGGCCAATGTGAAATGATGTAGCCGACAAGGACGGAAGGCGTGCTCATTGGCAAATTGGCCTTCTCTTTACTCCAAGCAGAGGAACCACACACATTTCAAAGGAGAAAACTTGAGCTAGCAAAATCTAAAACTAAAATAAATTTTATAATTTATTTTTAACTTAATGCAATATATAAATTATTAATTAAAATAAATTCATATATTTATATTTTTTCCTCATCAAAACTTTTTTTTTTTTTTAATTTTTATTACTTAACTTTTTTATAGTCGTTTTAAATTACGGGTCCTAATAAATAATGTCCAATGAGTTAATGATCAAAGTGTCCAATGAGTTAATGATTAAATATTGAGGTCCTTATATTCAGTGTTAAGACCATTAAGAATTTTGGTTTTCAGGTCCTCATCATTTTATTGCTTTTGAAGAAGAGCAAGTTCATTAACCAAAACTTTTATAGATTGAAGAAACTCAATAATGCTTTGTGAGCATTTGATAGGATTAAAAAGTTTTACCTTAAAGTTGTAGCAAATTACATAAAAGGGTTTTGCATAGCCTCAACAAGGGTGTCCCAAGACTCAGTGGTGATTGAAGGAGATTATGGAGGGAGAAAATGAACCAATTATAGCATTCAAAATGAGGTGTTCTTGGTGAATCCAATGATGGTGGCCTCAATTTGGTTATAATGAGCATGGAGTTTCTCTGTTAGAGCATCCAAAAATATCTTACACAATCAGAAATATAGGAAATTGTAATTTTCATGAGATGAAATTTAAGGATATGTATTAAAGTGGTGCTTGACTGATGATATTGAAGGATATAAGGTTGTCTGTTTTTCGGATTGATTTGTGGTAATATATGTTGTGTTTGTAAGGGAGTTGTCTTCTAGATCCATTTGAGAGGCATAGAGGAATAACGTAATTCCTAGAGTTGTATGCAACTAAGAAATAGTTAATGGCAAAATGAAGATGAATTGTAGTGATAGGGAAAGATCATGTTTAGCGACTGAAAACAGTATTGTAGAACAAATATTTCCTCAATAAAGAGAGAGAGAATCATGCTTAATTGTTGCACTAACACCATGTAGTGAATTATAATATTTGAAAGAATAATTTTATTAATTTCTTATTGATCAAAGTACCCATATATACAACCAAGTAATTACATGTTTTAAATTCCTTTGTCATAAGGGATAAACCTATTCAAATAAATTATCTATATGATATTGACACCTATTTTGAAGTTGGTGGACAAAGAGGGCAAAATTTTAGTTAAATTATTTGATATTGACACCTATTTTTAAGTTGGTTGGCTGAAGATTTTGATCAACTCTAATAGGTTTTAGATTTTAGAATATAAACATTATATATTAAATTTATATCTTTGTTTTCCATAAAGATTCATGTATCAAAATATAAGAGAGTTACAAAATGTTATTTCTACTCCATTTAATCATATTTTCAACATTCTCAAACTCATGTAGCATCTCCCTTCAACGGCAAATTATTATGTATGGAGACCGGATGTTCATAAAAATAAATTCGAACAATTCTCTATGTCCGATCTCCGCACCTAATAATATCTCCCCTTCAACATGTAATTTGTAGTAACTGTTTATTCTTCTTCAGCCATTAAAAACTCTTAATCTGTCCTTCCAGCACTCTTTCACAGTCTCCAATGTTCTCCCATCCACTATGTACTAGCTTTGATAAGCAATGCAGTACAGTGCTGTCGTATAGCTTCCATCCCCAAAAATCAACGTTATCTGCTATGCTCCTTTTGACCACTCAGATGGCGAAGGTGGCCATGAAGAAAAAGAAAGTTGCCACTCGCTTCTTCAAAGTCATGTTACCCGGCTACCTGAACGAGCTTGTGAGCTTCTTTTTCTTCTTCTGCTTCTTCTTTTCTGAACTGATCAATTTAATATTTTCTTAATTTTCTTTATTTATCTCTCCGAGTTTGTTTCTATTCTAATAACTTCATGATTCATGAATTGGGTTGCAAAATTTGTGAAGGTTTCAAAAAATGCATGGCAATCTCAGTAGAATAAGCTAAGTTACTTGCAAGATTCAGAAGCTCTGATGCATATAACAGTCTTTTATGACTACTTTAAGCTGTTAATTATTTGGAAAATTATGATTAGAGGCGACTAATCCTATTTTTTATCTTATAAATATAATATTTTCAGCCAATTCCTCCTAAATTTGCCAGAAATTTGTCAGTACAGAACCACAGAGCAGCAACTATAAGAGATCCTCTTGGCAGATCATGGCCTGCAAATGTTGAAGGAAAAGGTGAAGATCTGTGGTTCTGTGGTGAAGGATGGATGAATTTTGTTAAAGGGCTTGATATAGGAATAGGGTATTTTTTGGTGTTCAAATACAAAGGCAACATGAAATTCTATGTCAAGGTGTTTGATCTGACTGCTTGTGAGGTGGAGTATTCTCATGAAATATGGTAAAGCTCTTAGATCTCTACTTTTTCAGCTTTTTGGATTCATTTTCCTTTGTTTTGTGCATTAATGATGAAAATGACTTGGAAAAAAAAAAGATTTTTTTCAGTCTTTGGATTTAGAAGTTCTAGAAATTCCAAACAAATGGCAAAAGATTTGATGACAAAGATGGCTAAATTCATTTGATTTGTTTACTTTTAAAGCACTACAAAGTAGCTGGGATATGCTGACCTTCTGAGTGATATTTCTCATTTTTTAGCAGTTATAGCAAAAGATTTGAACTGTCATCTACTTTAAACAAGCAAGGAGAAGCCAAAGCATCAAAGACTGCAGAGAAACTGATTAAGCAGTTTTGCAAGTCACTTGGACCACATTTTAGCATCACCTTAAAGTTTTGCAATCTCAGGTCCAGACCTTATCTGGTAAGTCTACTGCACAAGGTTAATGTGCTGGGAATAATAATTGTAATAGTAAGTAATAGGAACTTAATATGTCCTAGTGAGGCTTTGTGAGCTTATAAATAAGTATATGAGAGTATTAGGACAAGCAAAAAGAATGAGGAAATGAGCTATGGCTCATCTCCCTCTCTCTCCTAATGATTCCCCGAGTCATGGGTGTTCGATCAAAATTTGTCTGTGGATGATAAATGACTATACTAATATGTCTCTAGCGGATTAGAGCTTGAGAACTAAATATAAGTTATTGAGTATAGAGAGTGAGCATAAAATTTTAATATCTCTTTAAGTAAATCTCGCAGCATATAGTCGAAAAGATGCATATTTACCTTTTTTATAGGGTCTAGATGGCTATAAGTTTGCGCCTCCTATAGCTTGATCGAGAATATTTGTAGTAGGCAAGTGTGCTTCATTTTGGACAATTGTTGCAGGAGAGTGGGTTTTGTTGGGGCAAGTGCTCCTCGGCGTAAAATTGGTCCTGATGAGTCCTTTTGAGGAGCTCACCAAGAATGATTTCACCCTTGATATGATCTTTTGGTGGTGAGTTCATATGCCGCGAGCTCTGTTGGGATGAATTATTGTTTTCTCATATATTGGGGTTGGTGATTGATCCTCAAGATAACATTCTTTCAGGTGATTTTTGTTGTGAACGCATATCCCCTCTGGCCAAGCTCTACAAATTTGTACTGTTTGGTTCATAACATAATAGGATTCTAACTTAGAGGTTAATCAATTGTTAATTGTTAGTGTTTGGAGTTCCTACAGAAATCTGCTATGTTTAGAGCTTTCTTTTCTAATTGTTCAATAGAATTCTATCTGCAAATTACTCCAGCCTACTAGAAAGACTTAAACCTGTTGCAACACCAATTGCAGAACTTTAAAATAGTTGGGTTTAGTCAAAAATTTTAACAGGTTATGTAGCACAGTGTTTATCAATTGGCTTTGTAATTAAGATGTTCATATTAAGGCTCTGTTTGGAATAACTTTCTTACTGCTTTCTAAAATAGCTTAACCAAGTTTCCTGTCAATTTCTAAACTACATGACTACTAGTTGTTGAAAACAGAATGTTCCACTTGGATTTCTAGCATCATACAGATTTGAGAACAAGAGCAAGGTGATACTGGTTGACCCAAAAGGCCGGTCGTCGCCGGTGAGGATTACGATCAGGAAACGGCGTCCCATAATCCAATGTTGCTTTGGAATGGGGTGGCATGAATTCTGCTTGCGAAATCATCTATCTGCCGGCGACAAATGTATCTTCGAGATCAAATCAGAGGAAGCAGACGCTTACATTGTGCATGTCCACATTATCAGAGAATGAGATATCTATCAGATATGAAAGAAATGGTGATAGCAACATCCATGTTCTTGATCCTGTATGACTAAGTTTTCTTTGTTGATATTTTTTAGTTTTGTAACTGTAAGATAAAGTCTGGAAGAGCAGACAAATTTTGTTGAATAAAACGCTCTGAATCTGTTCTGCTATTCCATTTGAAAAATGTTAGATAAGAAGAAGTGGGTAATGGTTGGTTTTCTGAATTCATTTTCTTTGTTTGGGTGATCAAATTGATTGTTCAGCTTATGATTTCTATGTGATAAAATTTGAAAGAATGGTAAGAACAGATTATATTTTCTTAAGCTGTGAAATAGAGAGTCAAGTGATCTGAGCATGTAATATCAACAAGTGTTGAAAGAAGCTGAAGATGACTGATTGTTTTAGGAAACTAATTGAATTGATGATCTAAATTCAGTGTTACAAATCTGCCATTAATGAAGGGACTCTTAACTGTAACAGAGATCTAAAAACAATTGTTATGATGAAATTAAAAAAATCAACAGACATGTAACGCAGTTGTTTTTTTTGACATTCAGTTTAATTAAGATAAATTCACATACACATTATTTACATAAAATTTGAACTTAATTAATAGTCAAAACTTTCAACCAACAGATCAAAATGAGCTTCATATTCTCTGTGTGTTCTTGCATTTGTATCATATATCATAGGTTAATGCTATGAGCTAAGCCTTCAATCACAAGACCAAAAATAATAAATAAATAAAGGAGAAGGAGTGTCTAAGCCATAATACTATTTAAGATTGGACTCTTATAATAATAAAATAAAAAAAAAAGTTTATTTAAACTTATTCATGAATTGTAGCAATACACTTTGTCCAAGAGAAGGCCAAGTAGTGATTGTTTTTATTCATAAATCAAAGCTAGAGGGCGCCATTGGCATCTTAGAGAGGTTGTTGGTGTGGTTCAAAATCACTCGACCTACCTTAGAAAATGAAGGCTAGTAACTAGAGGTTGGTTTGTCAAATTCATGCCACCTACTTCACTTAATTGAGCAAATGAAGGTTTTTGATGCAAGCAACATTTGATCTAAAAATGTTGATACTAAATTTTAAAATGTTTATAAACTAAATTAATTGGCAGTCATAACAACTACAAGCATCATTTGGGACGACTTTCTTACTGCTTCTTAATGTAACTTTTTTGCACAAAAGTTAAAAATTTTTAACTAAAAAACTACTTTAAAAAACTATAAACAAAGCCTTAGACTTCATTTGAAATTATTTATTTATTGCTTATTATTTAAGGTAGCTTTTTAATAAAAAAAATTAATTTTTTAACAAAAAATTTGCTTTAAGACGCAATAAAAAACAGTCTCACACGAAGCCTGAAATTCTTCCTTGATGTTGCTTATATTTTCACTTTTTAATTCATAAATGATCTTAAATTTAGAATGTTTTTCATTCTTTTTTCAAATTCTGATACTGCAAGAAGCATGTTATTTCATTTAACGATTTCTACTATAAATTTTTTATATGAAATTCCATCTACCATTCTAATGAAACCAATCTATTGAAAAAAAAAAAAAAATTCGATGATTTCTAATACTTTGGATTAGCTTTCAAATGAGTGAAATACAAGCCTTATTAATTAGGAATATATCTCCAAATATCTTACTCATATCAAAACTAATCCAAATGCTATAAAAATAAAATCCAACCCAAGCATTTGAAGCCTAATTTTCCCCCTCATTCTTCCCCTTATCTCATCCTCCCCCCAGTGTATTGAGTCGACTCACTGTATCAAATTCAGTCTTATTACGATTTTATTTAAGACAATTTTATTAATGTTTTTAAAGCAACTTTGTTGTACAAATATTAAAATTTTCATAGTAAAAAACTACTTTAAAAAACAATAAAAAGGCCGTCTCAAATGAAGCCTAAAAAGCTTTCTTACTTCTCAAAATAATTTTTAGTATAATAAAATCATCCCAAATAAAACCTAAATCCAATAGAAAGTAGTCACTTTTGAGTCATGAATCACATTTAGTTGTCAGGTCAAGTCATGTAAAGCTGAGAGATTTGTTAATGCATTTCTTCTCATTTAGTAAACAATCCAATGTTAGGTTAAGCTATTTCAGTTTGTTGGTCATTTTCAAGTCAAAGTCAAGCTCACATCACAGTTCCAACGTGTTTCTTAGGCAACTTTTCTACAAAACAAAAGAAGTATTTTTCTTATATTTTCAGAAAGTTGGGCTCACAGACAAATCCCCTCATATATTAAGTATATCAAGAACTTTTTTTAAATCATCAGCATTATCAAACGCAGCCTACAAAGCACTGAAATGCTGAGAACTCATTGAATTGCAACAATCTCAATAATACTTGAGCCAAAAATACAATCTAGATAGTGCTTCACTGGCAATTAAGGTTTCGTTTAGGACGGCTTTTTTACTGCTTTAAGAAGCAGCTTTTAAAAGCTGTTGTAAGTAGTAATAAAGACATCCCAAACAAAATCTAAAATTAAAATTAAGTGATAAATAGATATACCCTGAATGTTTCATCTTCACTTCCGGCTCGGACCCAGCTGCCTATGCTACAAAAACGGGCTTCAAGTTAACAGAGACTTCAGCATCGTTTGGGACGGCTTTCTTACTGTTTCTTAAAGCAAATTTTTAATATAAAAATTAACTTTTAAACTAAAAAGCTGTGTTAAAAAGCGATAAAAAAGCCGTCCCAAACGGAGACTTCATCTACAAGGATCAAAATTTGCACATTACAACAAAGTTCACCAACCTTTTCACCAGACGCCAATGGAAAGCTGACGTCCGATATTGTAAGAATCCTGGTTGTCCACCTGGAGACAAGTATTTAGAAAAGATGTGGTTGGCAATATAATGCCGCCATAATAGAAGGAACTTCTGCCATTTGTGAGAAATTTCAAGCTCCTTTGAGATTTCAGCTTCCAATCATCTCCTCTTCAGCCTAACAAACCTTCAAATACCTTCCTGCTACACTCTTTTCGGATTTCTCATACCCTGCATTTGCCATCAGTTGCAAGTATTCACAGTAGCAGTGAAATGCCATTTGAAGAACATATTCCTTAAACAAATAATGATTGCCCGCCGAATGATTGACGTAACATGCCTTCTATTTTATCGTTCCCATTTAGGTTTCGTTTAGAACGGCTTTCTTACTACTTAAAACAGCTTTCTAAGAAGTAGTAAGAAAGCCATCTCAAACAAAACCTTAACTGCACTACTGTTGGTTGAGATAAAGCAGATCGAATGATATGCATAATATACTTTCCTCAAGTTAAGAAGACTGATTTAGAGGAGCCATCTCAGATGGGAGGAAAGTCCAATATCCTTGTTCGTAAAGGATGGAAAAAGATTGCGCATTCTTTCAAATCAAAGATATCTCTCGGTTAGAAACTGCAGTTGGTGATTATCTCTTAAAGCTCCGCCAGAATGTCTCTGAGATTCATAGGATTTTTGATGTGGATGTTCAAGTAAGAGAGCTGGCTAGCGTTCCCTTGTTGTGTAAAGCTATTAATAACAGCAGTCACATATTCAAAGTTTGGACCGTACAAATGAATAGCACAAGCAGCCTTGAATTGTAAGAGCATCCACTCACCTGTTAGGCGAAGAAAAGGTATTTTTTAAGTCCGCAAATGCGAAAATTTTCAAAATAATAATAATAATAATAATGCAAAATTTTGGATAACCGTTTCAAGTTAAAAAATTCAAAGAGAGAGTAACTTATGAGACATCATATATTCACTAATGTTGCAATTTACTATTCAGAGTTCCTTATGTGATACTAATATGTATATGAATTCGTGTATGAGTGCGATAATGGCTTTGTTGGGTTTGTTTGACAATCATAAATGAATGGTACTACGTTGATTAAGTAAATATGTCAAGGAATGCATTATGTTTCTGTATAGTGATATAATATGAATTTAAATTCTTGCACGTGTTGTTTATAAATGCATTTCCCTCCATGTACATCAACGCATACATACTGACATCCGCACATACATACCGACATACAGATCAAAACACATACACAACATTAACTAAGGCTTTGTTTGGGACAGCTTTCTTATTGCTTCTTAAAAAGCTTCTTAGTACAAAAGTTTAAATTTTTATACTACGAAGCTGCTTTAAAAAGTAGCAAATAAGCCGTCCCAAACGAAATCTAAATATCCATACAGTGTCATACGATACACCAAAACAGACAAACACATTTAGCAAAATGCACGCAAATGCACACATATATAAAGCATCATCAACACCATCATTAGCCATATCCCAACTAATTAATTTGGTTTGACTTTAATAATCCTCATTCCACATTTGCTCGTATCAGGTGTTGAACCAGTTGTGGCATCAAAAATGAGAATTAAACATTACTGAAGATATTTAAAAATAAAACTTCAAAAAGTTGAGACGATTTAATCATACCGTGAGCAAAAAAAATAAATGAATAGCATATAAGTAATTACAATCCAAGTACTTCCAAGGATCATTCGACTATTAAAATCAGGATAAAGGCATGATAGATACTTGGTGAGTGAGCAACACTAGCCCAGTCTTTCAGACAAGATAACTCTCTAGGAGTATGTGATACTACTCTTCTCATGTTACTTCAAGTGTTTCATTCTTCACTTAGTAAGACGTTTCAATTCACTGATTGTCTTACTCCATGTAAGTATGACTTGCAATTTTATAACATTTCTTCTTAACGGATCATAAACTACTTGAAAGCCCTCCAATAAACAATTGCAGCTTAACTCTACGAGTGAGTAATCTATCAAAGTATAAGAGTTCTTAGGTTACTTAACATCTAAATAATTTATGTAAATAATGGATGATGACCTTTTGGTATGCTGATATATGTAATAACTAAATGAAGGACATTTTAAGCATTTTTTTTTACATCTAGTTATCATCAAAATCATCCAAATATTAAGCATTTTAACACAAAACTAATTAATGCATTTGAGAGAAAAAAATCCAAACAAACAGCATTTGATAAATAAGACATCTTAATACACTAACTTCTAGACAGCATGATTAAAAAGTTCCTAAACTTTCTTTGACCCAAAATATATTATTAATATATGATATGCATGCATATCTATACAGAAATTGTATCCTAAATGAAGACTTTTCAAAACTTTCAGGATTCTTATTTTCCGTATCATATACATATAGGTTCTTTTCAAAATTTCCTATAATCATGCCTACCGTATTATATTTATATTGTTATATAAGACACATGCTTCACATATAGCTAATGACAAAAAAGTTACATCAATGATTGCTTTTCTTATTAAAACGGGACAATAATATCTTTTATAAAATGAGTACATAATGAAAAAAATGAAAATATTAATTTTAGGAAGGACTAACTAAAAGCTTTGAGAAGTTTCAATAAAATAGGAAAATAACTAACATTATCAAGTATAATATAGATTATAAAGATAAGATAAAATTTTAGAAACGTAAAACTTAGTATGCAAAGTTTCAATAGTTGTAGAAGATATTTGAATAGTATGGTTAACAAATCCCTCACACTCCTCCCCTTTATCTCTCTCTCAAATCAAAATAAAAGCATCTCTCTGTCAACATCCACCCCTAACCCCTTTCCTTGAAAACCTCCAACAATGAGGAACATTCACGTTATCTTTTTTCTTTTATTTGAACAAAAAAGGAATTCTGTTAAAGTTGTTAGAACACTTCTTCTGATTGCAAAATTGAATATCTAACATGCTAGGCATAATATATAAAACTCACCAGCCTGGATCTCAGAGAGAGAAATACTTCTGCCAAAGTGGCGTGATACCCACCATCTACAGCGAAGTCTCCAAGTATCTCCAGTTTCTCCTTCAGTAAACATTGTAGGTATTCTATTACAGTAGACATTATCTGTTACAACTCCCATGTTTGCTGAAATGCAATCTTCACTGTGAAAAAGCATGGCTGTTTGGAGTTCAAGAAAACAAGAAGCAAATTCTTCCCAAATGCTGCATTTCCCATCGACAGCATCTAAATGCTTAGCTAGCGTCTCCACTAGTGGTGTAACATTATAATCCCCTTCGGTAACAGGATAAAAAGAAAATCAATTATAATTCAAAAGCAGCAAATTAGTGTCTTATACAGGGCGAAATATTCTACAGAAGTTAGAATGACCTGTATTAAACAATTTAGCATAATTGACAATACAAAGTAACAATCCTGCATTTTCAAAATAATAGATATAAACATGATTTTCATAAACAACTTTCAGGAAATCAAGGAACAACTAAATAAACCCAACTAACATATCCCAAAATACGCATGAAACTAACGTTGAGATACCAGACCATAAGTTAACTTCATTCTTGCCCTCCTTAGATTGTTTCTTATCATACGTGTTTTACCAACAACTCATTCAAACTGTTTACAATGGATTTTAGAGATTCAAGCAGCAACATAAATGAGGATATATGATTATTTTTTTATCTTCTTCTTTTTTTTCATAGTTCTTTTTTTGTTGTATAGAAGGCTTTGAACAATTTTTAGAGGTGCTTTAAGCACACACCTGGAAAATGCATTATGTACAGAGATTTTAGAGGATATTTTGGGTTTTGTAGAAGAAGAAAAGAAGACACAAGTAGTGACCAGATGAGATATTAATCTCGCAATCTATATGCCATTGCATAATTGCATGCATGATTATGGATATGATATGTGCAGTACAGGTGCAAACAGATAAAATGCCCAAGTGTGAATTAAGGAACATGCTGCTGGGAGGCTTTAGACTAATTACTAGAAGGAACCACGCCTCAAATGATAAATTAAAAAAGAACAGAGCAGGCTATTTTATGGTTAGGCTATGACATTCAAGTGACGGAATTAATATTCTATTTCAATTAATTCAAAGGAACTTGAAGTGGTAACAGAAACTTGATGCTTTGAGTGCATATAGAGAAGAAATGACGGTGAGTCTTGCTTAGGCTTATGAAGTAACATATGCTAGTAAGTTGGTGAGGTAAAAGGGTGTTAAGCCCCGACTTCATCTCAGCAAGCTTGAGAGCAGCATCTTCATAACTGCTATTTGATTCCAGGGACAATCAGATAGTATTTTATTGCTTATGAAGTTAACCCCAACTACATCTCAGCAGATGGAGAGCAGCATCTTCTTACCTCAAAGTTTATGACGTAGCATATGCTAGTAAGTTGGTGAAGTTAAAAATTGTTTAGCACAGAAATCATCTTAGCGAATTGAGAGCAGTGTCTTCTTAACTGCTATTTGATGGCCATTTCCAGGGACATTCAGATAACATTTTATTGCTGGGGTTCAGCTTCTGTAATTTATTATTATTTTTTTAATCTTCTTACCACCTTTTGCATCATTCCTCTCGTAGCCATACTATGCCCTTGCACTTTAGTTACTCCGCTTTATATAGCAATGAATTGACTGATATATCACCAAAGTGTTTGTCTCGTACATGTTGTTAATTTGTCGTCCTCTTTCATAAGTCTTATAGTCACTACGGGATTTAAAGAGGAGGGTAGGAACTCTAAGAGGGCTTTAGAGTGGGACCAGAGAGGGGGATGTAGGTGAGTTAACAGAGAAGGACTAGAGTGGTTTGCTAAGAGTTCAAACATGTGAAGGCCAAGCACAAGACAAAAAAGGCAAAGGGCTTGTGACATGAAGCGTGAAAAAGAGTTCAGAATAGAAATTGTCGGGAAGAAAAATGCGTTAAGAGCGAAACTAGAGAGATAAGGAAAACTCAAATGACAAGTTTGTGATAGAGACGACAACAAACAGATGATTTGCACAAGAGACTGACGTCGAGGGCAAGAAAGTGAGTTATTTGCAATTGTGTGGTACGACGTGGTTGGGAAGTCATGGTTTAAGAGCATGAGTGGAGGTAGAGCACTGCATTTTTTATTTTGTGGTAAACACTATATCATGACATATCATTTACCTTTTTTATCACATATGCTAATCAAATCACTAGGTCAAATTGGTATCCCCTCTAATAGCAAGGCAACTATCAATTCTTTCTATGCAAATTTTACCGAGGTGACTTTAGCCAGTTTTAAGTTGACCATGCCAATAACGAAAGAAAATTTCCAACAAAATATTTGTCAGTTCCAGTTAAAAACAATGATCATACATTAACAAAATTGATGCCAAGTTTCAAAACAATAATCTAGATTAATACAACTGATTTTTTAGTTCACTGTAAAATCGAAATTGTATTCCTTACCTATATTTTGTTTGTGTGACATTTGGATTACACTCTGTAAGTGGACAAACCTCCCTTTTTTTCAAATCAACGGACTCTTGGAGTGTTACAAGGAGCAAATAAATTGGAAGTCACAAGGTTACAAAACATTTTAGTACATTTCCAGAAAAACTCGAAAGGGTTGGATTAAACCTGTTTTGTGCATTTTGATAAGCCTTTCGATAGAGTAATTACATGAAGGGTCCCTCGTCAAGGCGCTCTCATAGCAGCTGGAAATCGTGGAGATCTCACTACTACAAAAACATTGTAGAAGTCTAGCCTTCAATCTACAGGAGATATCATATCTAACGTCAGCTTCTGGAGAAATGGAAGGATTAGCATATATCTTACCGACTTTAACCAAAAAATGTTTCAAGGACACTCTCAAATGAATATCAGGAAAAAAAATGTTCAAACGTGACTTATGCATACAACAACAACAACAACATCAAGCCTTTATCCCACTACGTGGGGTCGGCTACATGAATCCTTTTTCTCCATTGAGTCCTAATGTCCTATTAAAAGCCAAATTACTTATGCATGAAATCGAAAAAAAAAAAAAACAATAGAAGTACATAAAGCTGTATCATATTATTCCAGGTTTTATAGTATACCTGAAAGGAAGTGCTGAATCTAACTCATGGCAGGCCTTGTCAAGCTCAACAAATGCCTCACGTACCTGATCACCAAGCAACAATAGCTGGTTGTGCAGCATAATTAGCTTAAAGATGGCAAAATCTCAAATACAAAAACAGAAATGTTAAACAAATTTTGATATCATTAGTAGAGATATATTATAGCAAAGAAACAAAATGGTACAGTAAAGAAAGGAAATTACAGTTCTTCAAGACATGCTTGATTTGTGGTCAAGCTTGATTAAGAAAATTAATAATTCTACCAAAATTCAAACAATTGATCAACACTGCACAATTAAGATATTGGGTTCAAAATTCATAAAAATGTTATGAAGACTTATCCAAGCATTTAAATTAAAAACATAAAAGTCAAGAGCACATTTGGTCGTTTTGATCTTTCTTTTCTATTTGCTCTGTTTTACCTTATTTCTGTTTTGTTTTTCTTTTCACTTAAAACAGACATTTTGGTTGTGTATTTATTTCTTGTTTTCATAATAAATGCTTTAGAATGAAAACAGTGTTTTCAATTTAAAAAAAAAACACTACTTTGTTTCCCAAAATAAAAAACAAAAGCAGCTAATCAAACGAGTTTCCTAACACAAGTACTTCTTGTTTTAACCGAATATTTAAAAAAAAACACAACCAAGTCCGTCCTATGTATGTGCAATGCATTTTATTAGAATCATTAAAAATGGTCTGCCAATAAATGTTGAAGAAAACTAAACATCATATTTTATTTATACAATTTTGAAAGGAACTACATGAACGCCCAAAAATTGGCCACAACATCATTTCAAGGTTGGAAAAAATCTCATCTGTCTTAACTTACATACTCCCAGGCGGCATGCATCAGAAGGGTGGTAGATAATCCAAACTAGAAGTGATTGGAACTTCGATCAAAATAGGCTCAAAATTAAAGACAAATCTACAGCAAATAAAAACTTTAGTTAGAAGCTAGCTTTCGAGCCATGCAATGACACAATAACTTTACTTCAAGCTCCAATTAAGTCAAAAATCAATATGATTTCAATCAATTTTCAACATCAAACATTCTTATTCTACACTCCAAAAATCAATATTTATGTATGTATATGCATGCACGCCCGAACTCATTCATACATACATGCATAAACATTAAAATCCAATCTCAAGCAAGTTTTATCTGATCCAAACTCAGCTTAATAAAATTCAATCTGACCAGGGAATGGCACATTAGACATCTTAGTGTCTTCAATCCGAGCTCTACTAGAAATTATGATATAGAATTGGAGAATGAAAGACTAAATGGAAACTGTAGAAATTACCTGGGACAATGAAATCAGATTTTCGATGAAATGCATAAAAGGATAATGAGTTTTTCCCTGTTTTCTAAAATTAAATGATAATTAAATTCACTTTAACGTAATAATGTAAAGAACAAATTACAGTTGATTTCAAAACTATAGTGAGATAGTTGGCCTCTGTGGACTAGAAATCAAAGAGAGAAAGAGGTCGAGACTCAAGAGTCCATGTGCTTAAAATTGAAAAGAGAGAGAGAGAGAGAGAGATGGTGAGTATTGGATGAAGAAAGAAAGATTGAGGAATTATAAAATTCCATTTTTTGAACTTAAAGTTAATATCCTAAATCTTTCAATTTATAGGAATATGCAAGCCAATCCAATATATATTGAAATTCAAATTAATTAGAATGATTTACTAACTCTTATCCTAAACATCCAAACAACAATTAAAATTACGGATAAGCATCCCTTAAATAAAAGGAATATTTCCTTGAATTTCTGAAAAAAGGTGGATGGCAATGTAGAACTAGGTGGAGAGAATTTTGGACAATTTTCTAATCTCACCACATCTACTTCTCTCTCCTCGCTCCTTAGTAGGCCCCTTTATTTTGGAATTTTAAACTACAATTTTACAATTGAGCACCCACCGTCTCACAATTCATAAATATATTTTTTTCAATTTGTTTGAAAACCTCCTATGTGAACACTCATTAGATTAGGAGTGTCAATATTGTCAATATTTGACACGACACGAAAACCCGACCCGAATTGGAATTTTCGGGTTAGACCTGACCCGTTTCCAAAACGGGTCGGGTTCGGGTTGACCCTTCGAAACGGGTAGGGTTCGGGTTGACCCAACGGGTTGCCGGGTCAACCCGGAAACCTGTTTGAACACCTGCCCGCTACCCTCCCCCTGCCAGCACGCCCGCTCTGCTGCCCGCCAGCCCGCGCGCCAGGCAGCCAGCCTTCCTGGGTCGGGTCGGGTCGGGTCAACCTGGCAACCTGCCGGGTCGGTCTGGTTCGCATTTCCGACCCGTTTACCTACCCCGGTCAAGTTAGGGTAAACCTGTTTGAACCCGGGTCAGTTCCGGATTCGACCCGAACCCGACCCGTGACCCGAAATTGACGCCCCTACGTTAAATCATTTGATCCTACAAACAAGAGTTCATCTTCTTATGTCTTTTGGATCTGCTCCATTTTTTCCTCCTTGCATTCATAGGATTTCAGCAAGTTAAGATGATTAATTCTCCTTCATTTGATACAAATTAGGAATTTGAATGATACAACTTATGCTTTCAATTAGAAAGAGAGTTCTTGACCCTTTATTAGAATCCTCAAATCTGGCGGTCTTCTCCATCCCCTTCTAAGGTGGAGCAATAAGCCAACTAACTCTATATTTTTTCCCTCGCTTCACAAGGACAATTTTTTTGGTGTCTTCTCAACAGCATGGTATTTCTATCCCACAAAAATTAACTAACCAAAATTATATAGCATACATCTAGCAATACAACTTAAAAGATTATTCATCAATGTAAGATCAGGAGAGAGCAAATATAATAGAAAATTTTTAAGTGAATTGGCAAACATTATTCTTATGAAAGCAACTAAGAGAATAGATCATTGAATTCTTATTAACAAACAACCAAAAATTCTAAGCAAATCTTCAAATTTCTCACAATTTAGATCAAAAATAACATCGACAAGATTATATTTCACCAGAAGTTTGTAGATCAAAAGTTTCTCCCTAGCTATATCACTTACTTGTACATGTAATATGAAGGACAGAACATTATATTCCTTTGTCATTCCTCAATTACATCTTCTGAAAAAGTAAATCTTTTTCAAATCCTCACAATTTGACATTTTAACTGGATATAAATTCTTACAATCATTGAGTTTATAGCATGGCTTTTTGCAATAGTAACTTGATGCTCTAGTGTATTGGTCCTCTATAAGGGAACCTTAAGTCTTCTCTTTTTTTACAATTGAAAGTTGAGATTTCTATACAATGCAAGAAATCATTTTTCCCCATAAGTGTGAAGGATTTTGTAAAGCTCTACTACACATTTCATACAATAACAACAACAAACCTTTATCCCACTACTACACATTTCATAAATAAAAATTTTTCATTTACCAAAATTTCTAAAGCAGTTGACTATTGTATAAATTCCTATTACGCTTCAAATTCTATCATGGGATTCAATTTCTTCTTCATGAATTATGGGATATCAGTAAACTTTTAGCAAAATTTTAAATCTAAATATATAAAGGTCAACAAAACATAATTTTTAAAATGTGAATTTTCCCACATTAAAACAAGTGAGAACAACTTCAAACACACAAATGTTTTTTTTTTTAACTATCAAGATAATCGCAAACCATGATATACAATTCTGAAGCTCAAAACAATTGTTAATTACCTTGGCTTTGATTATTCAATCGAAGTAAGGTGACTCCACTTTTGCTTCTACCTTGAAGGGAGGATATTTTTCTTCTCTCATTTCTATATATTTTCAACTTCTCTTTGATAGACCGGTCCAGCCGGCCCAACACAAAGGCCGGCTCATTACTTACAATAGGCAGAAGCCTACTGTTCCGCCCAACATGGGTCCCGCCCCGCTTGGGGTAGGTTTTGCACTTTGCATCCTAAGTAGAGAGAAAAGGGAGAGTTTAAGTCGAGAAATTTTGAATTATGAGGGCTGTTTAGTCTTTTGGAGGGATTATTTTGCATACTCCAAAGCTCTCTATAAGCCACCTAATGGTCAACAAAAGAGCCAAACAAAATTTCGCAGAGAAGTCCCCGGCGCAAAAGAGTGGTTTTGACCTCCATATACGTATCATATCCAATCGAGTGCACTGGAGAAGGCGACTAGTAGACAAGTCACACAATGAATGTCGAAGCGCCTCGACCGCTATTGAAATTATTCAAACTTCATCTGGTTGCAAAACGGGGCCGCATCAATGCACTTACAACACCGAATTTGCTAAGAAAGAGTCATTCGTGCGTAAATCAATCAAAAATGACATCGAGAATGACTGATGGCAAGCACAATGTTGCATAAAATTACATAAATGACTTCGAATCGTCAAACGGGCTGCAACGATGTGATCAGAGCATCAAATTTACTTAACCCCTCGTAATTGAATCAAACGAAGGCCATTGAGATCGATAGACTACGAACGAAATATTGCGCGACATTGCCAAAACATCACTCGTTCACAAAACGGACTTCGTCGTTACGTCCGGAATGCTGAAATCATATAGAAATGATTGTCATATTGCTTGGGTTTCCATGCGAGTGAAAATACGAATCTACACGAGTTTTGAGGTGCACAAAAATCAATATGCACAAATCATGAGAAAGCTGCACGAGAATCAATTCATAGCTTTCATATTCATTTTAAAATACTATTTGAAGTAGAATATTCATACGTATATAATATTTAAGAATAAAATTAAAATTACTTGCTATATCTACCCTATACCGTATTCAAAATCCTACTCAAATTCCTGTCTCTACCGCCCAATCTTATCTTTAAAAATCTACTGAATACTTCCTTTGCTCCTCTCTTGATTTCTGCATTCATCCCATTGTCCCTTTTCCTGTCACCCGTCACCCTTTCTATTCAACTCCTGCTAGACCCTCATCTCCCTTTGTTCCACGCAAAGAAGTCGAGCTCTATTCCTCTCCTTCACAACCACCATACAGGCAACAGCTCCTTTATTCACTGCAACACAACTCCAAACTCCTCTCAACACTCACGAAACAGCCCCTCCACTT